ATTATCTTTCTCCAGCATTATGTATTCTTGTAACACACTTTTTAATCAAGACAAAGTTTCATTACTTACCAGAAAGTGTTGCAGTCGTGTTTTTGGGTAAGTTTTGCTTTCATTTTACTGCAGAATGATGTATTTTGAACGTACATTGTGATGTACTGTACATGTACTATATTTTGAACATTCCTATCAATTTTCTGGCAAGCAATTCATTCAAATGAGGCTCTTCTCAATTATACAGACTTTATGTTAATGTAAATGCAATTACAATATACTTGTTCATACACTAGACTCAGGACTGAACAGGCAACTTCCATGACTTAAAGTTGGGATTACTAGTGCAATGCTATGTCACCTCAGATATTCCATTCACAAACTTAATCATCAACTTTTTTTGCCCGCCTCTAAGTGCGTACACATGTTTCACGTCACATGGACGTGAAATCTGGCATTCTCAGGTCCACGTGAACGGATTTCGATATGCGCACAAATTTTGGTGCAAACCAGAAATAAAATTTCACAATTTACGTCAGCGTCTCAAAAATTGTTGATGCTTAAGTTCTCTATTAGAAGCCAGCATCCAAAAAAATCTGGTGTCTTTTTTGACCTTTGGATTTTGACAGGTATCTACATGTAGTCCCTAATTTCATGAAACCCCTTCACCTGAGCTTAGCGTGAAGGTTGTGTGGGAGGGATACACAGTCGGACAAAAATGGTCACAAACATTTGAATCATCTAAATAATATAACTGATGTTGTTTGTATTCAAGGTGCGTTAATTGGTCTTGTTATGAAAGCGCTGCGTCACTTCTCTCTTGGGGATTGGCAGGTAATAATATGGTTTCATTTGATTCCATATTGTCGTGTAAAAATCAATGTCTTTTTGCATTAACTGGATATTTTGAATCATTGTCATCATAGCTCCTCGTGCCATTAAGCGCATAAGGCCTTCACCACCTCTTTCCAGACATCTCTATCTCTTGCTGTCATTTTGGCTTCATTCCAAGTCTTTCATACTTTGTTGTCCCTTTCTTTCAGTACCATTCATTCCTCCCCTTTCTCTTCTTCCTAGTTCAGGAATCGTTGAATGTTTTGCAATTATTTCATCTGAGTGTGAAGTAGATATTTAACTAAAAAATTTTTTTTCATTTTAACAGAGAGAGGAGCATTTTAATCCAACTGCATTCTTTTTGATATTACTGCCACCTATTATATTTGAGTCAGGGTATTCTTTACATAAGGTAAATTAGAAATATTAATTATTATTTATAATAATTTTAGTAATGTTTACAACATGAAGGGCTGTGTTGAATGTAATATATACAATATGAGCGGGCGATCTGTATGAGGATTTAAAACAGCGAGCTGAAAGCAGATCGCACGCGAATATTGTATATTACTTATGAAACGTTAAGGTAAATTAGCTCAGGTTTTAAAGAAACTTTTGAAAAAAATTCAATCTGACCGAGAAAATCAGAGTTAAAGTTTATGCAAATGAACAAGAAATCTGTATGTAATATACAACTCTCTTCATGGGCTATGATTTCTATTGTGTTTTGCCTTATGAATATTAATGAGTTTTATAAGGATTTTACAACACTCTTCACGGTTGTGATTTCTATTGTGTTTTCCTCATTAATTATTCATAAGTTTTACAATAGTAATTATAATTATATTAACTGCATAAAATAAACGTTCTATTTTTGTCAGGGTAATTTCTTTTCCAATATTGGTTCTATTGTGATTTATGCTGTATTTGGTACTGCTATATCTGCTCTAGTCATTGGAGGAGGGATCTATTTATTGGGAAAGGTAAACAAATATTTCATTTGGTTTTTATTTGAATGAACAGTCGACTTGTATAGTGCCGTACAAAATGTAAAGAACAGCAGAGTCACTGATGGGGCATGATCTTGATTTTCAGGTGCAAATCTTGGCTAGAATCCTATTTGATCCTGTTTAGGATCCTATTCCTACTTAGGATCTTACATATAATAATATGATCCTGTGTAATATCCTATTCCTGTGCAGGATCCTACTCAGGATGCAAGTTAGGATCCTGTTTCAAGTTAGGATCCTGTTTCAAGTTAGGATCCTGTTTGTTTTCATGTTTCAGCATTCTATTTAGGATCCTATTTAAAATAAGATCCTACAGGATCCTGTCTAGCAGATTTGCACCATGGATATGCCTTGTCTGTAAAATAGAGAAAAGGCCAGCTAAAACAGTGCACTTCCAAGGTCATTGAAAGAGACTGCCTACAACCTTGGTCGATATACAGAGTTGTAATATATTTTGTCATAAACTTTACAAATGCAAATCACTCAAACATAAAGATCTTCGTACGTACAGGCCAGGGACTACCAAGAATAGTGAAAACTAGTTTCGTTTATTAAAACCTCTTCTTTTGTGTTTTTAATTTTGATTATTATTTTTTTACAGGGGGGAATTGCTTTTCAACTTGGTCTAAGAGAAAGGTAAATGATAAAAGCATTTTGTGTCAAATAATTTGATTTTATGAATCAACATTGCAATACATTTTATCATCTATGCCATATATCCCGTGCCTGATGAAGCTCAGAAAATTTAAACTTAAATAGAAACGGGCAGTAATTCTCTCCACAAATGAAGTGTACACTGCCAGTTTGTTTTTTAGTCATGCGCCATCAGTTTTATTATATATTATTTTTCCTTTATGCATTACATCATTAGTTTTGCGTTTGGTTCTCTGATATCTGCTGTGGATCCAGTGGCTACTCTTGCTATTTTCCATGCGTTGGATGTTGATCCAACACTCAACATGTTGGTGTTTGGTGAAAGTATTCTTAATGATGCAGTCTCTATTGTCATGACAAAGTAAGTCACCACCATGCTGGTCTAATACTAGCAACTGGCAAATCAATGCATGTGTAGTGCTCAGCTGANGTCTCTCACCATCCATTTCAAATTTATCCACCCATTTGTTATTCATTTATTCAGACGTTCATCCATTCTTTCATTTAGTCATCCAACCATTTAATATCATTTCAAATGTTATTAACATTCTGTTGTTCATTTAGTTTAATCGACTAATCATTCTTGAATTTCCAAATGAGGGACTGGGGTTACAATTATCTTGTGACCTGTAAAACTTTCTTTTATACTGAAGCTTGTAAGAGTGAGGTCACTGTTATTGTATTCGCATACTGTCCTATGTCTTGATTGTGTTATCTTGACTGGTATCAAGGCACAAATGGGATCAATCAGTAAGATAGAAGTGTGCAAAAGCATCATCACTAGTGGCCACAATCTTATGCATTGCGCTGTAGTATTTACTTGYAATTCTGTTGTTTACCTTAATGATGTTTCACCTGCTTAAGCATGTTGATCTACGCAGCACTCCATCGTTGGAGTTGGCAACCATGCTAATATTTTCATATATACCTTATGGGCTGGCAGAAGGAATTAAACTGTCAGGTAAAGACTGAGATCAACAGTTTCACTTAAAAAGCTTTCTGTGGGGATCATGAATCTGTTAGCTGAGGGTCCCAATCGTAGGCTGCCCAGCTATTGCTTAAGAGATGCGCATTTATGTAATCGGCGCACGCTCTTAGCAAAATGCGGATTACCTGTGGTATTACGTCACGATACCGTTGCCGTAAACTAGTCTGTGACAAGTTATTAAAGACTCACGTGACAAAATAAAATCGTCATTTCTGCGGTTCTCTGTGAGACAAGAGCAAAATTATATTTGTCACTTTACCTGTGTTTCATACCTTGTCACAGTTAATTCGCATTTTGCTAAGAGCGCGCGCCGATAACATAAACACATGCGCACCTCCCAAGCAATAGCCGGGCAGTCTATGTATGACTGGGGCCCTCAGCTAACAGATTCATGATGGCATATAAAGTGAAGGAATTATGAATGTATCTTTAATGCGCTAATACATAGTTTTGTTCAACATGTAGGTATTATGGCCATATTATTTTGTGGTATATGTATGTCACACTACACCCATTTCAACTTGTCACCCATGACACAGATAACAGTGCAGCAGATTTTAAGAACAGCATCGTTTATGGCAGGTAAGACTCGGTCAACGCAATCCTTCCGTTTGTTTCATTGTGAGAAAATCTGACTGGGAGTGTTTTGGTGATTTGTAATCACCCATAGTACTCGCAGCAGAGGTTACAGAACCCTGCTGGCCCTAGCAAAAGTCACACTAAACATTTCAGTGGAAGGTACTACTGCGGGGCGGATTTAGGGTTACCGCGGCTCCCCCTTTTGCTGAATAAAAAGCGGGCAAAATGAGGAAAGCAAAACGGAAATAAGAAAAACGTTTTCAAAATCCCTCAAAAATCACGTTTACGTTGATCTAAAGTTCAAAATTTTCCGGGGACACAAACTTTACTGCCCTTCCTTTGCAATATCTTTGGATCCGTCCCAGCTACTTACAACAAAGAGGATGGGTGGAGAATACATGTACAAAAACAGAAAAGAAACAGTGTACATTTAGATTTGCAATTGACCCAGACTGCCTAATAATGTCGGTTCGGGCTGGCGATTTTTGCGGCAATTTTTCAATCAATTTTCAAAGATACAATCGATTTTGTCGTATTCTTGTAAAGGGACGTTTAGTTAGCTCGTCTCCGTGCAACGAATAAACCTTTACAAGTTAATTATTTTACATAATTTACTGGAATGAAAGTGAACGCAAAAATCGCTAACTGTAAATGAGAGGGAAATTGTGTAAACATCCCTTTAAACACTGGAAAAAATCCCGCGCTTTAAAGGTTGTAAATTTGATGTAAATATGATGTAAATGTCCAAAATTCTGTAAATTTGATGTAAATGATTTCCATTAAATTTACAGAATTTTGGACACTTACATCGTATTTACATCAAATT